AGAATGCATGTTGAGTTACTGATAGTGACGTCCTTGCCCATGTGAGGCCTTATAACCTAAATTTCTTTATAAATAGCGAAATAATGTTCTGATTTAAAAAAGCTTTGGTAAATCGATGGATATTAACAGAAATAAGTTTTATAAGGTCAAACGAAGGCATACATAATAATATTATAGACGCCAGTTTTCCGCGGTTTGTGGGCGTTAGAGTGGGCGGGGCCGGTTGAAAACTCTTTCCATGTTGCAGGCATTTCTTATAGGCCCCGAGATTTTTGCATTTTTGGTTTTCCGGGTATTGTCGGCGTTAGGGTGGAAATGGTTAGATGCATAAACAGTTTGCATTAATACTGATCAAGAATATATATACTTTAGAGGGTCGGAAACGCTTCATTCTACCTGTTACATACTTTTCAAGAATCTAATACACCCTTTTACTCTACGAGTTACGGGTAAAAAAATTTGGGACAAATTAAGAAAATAATCTTTTAGAAATAATTTTGGCTAAAAATAGATTCGGCATCACAGATCTGGAAAACATTCTAATGGGCTTGACCCTAGCAAAATTAAATATTGTAAGTCCGGCAATTCTAGATAGCTCCGACATTTGCGAAATTAAAGACAAGCTGCCTATTAACATTAGTTTGATAGAAATTTTAGAAGCATATAGTATAACTGTTTTTAAAAATTCCGATATCATTCATTTTCTTGTTAAATTTCCTAATCCTAGGCTTGTTTCAAAGAAGATAACAGTCTATCCGGTCCAGATACCACCATCTAAAGACCAAAGTCCACTCCAAACCAGGAATTAACGATGACTTGGATCCATTGGGTCAGCAGCATTAGCATTAGCACAAGAAGCTGAATCAAGTAACGAAAGAAGCGTTTTTGCGCCACTTTCGCCCGACACAATGAGGAGAAAGCATACAAGCCGAACAACCATCGACGAGAAGGTTGAAAAAATTCCCAGAAATTCAGGAGCAATTAGGAAAACTCCTCACTTGTTAGGACTCAAAAAGGAGCCAACAACCAGAATGGTTCCTTTGGACAGAGACCACACATAAGCACAGGAACTTATCAGGGTCAACCAGCACCAGAGCCAATGGAGATCGACCCCTCCTTCAGGAGGGTATTTAGACTGCCTACAACATGGCAAAAAGGGCAGTCAGCAAGGCAACAAAAAATGAACCTTCTGCCAGAAGAGAAATCTGACGACGAAGATTACGACGCCGTTGCGCAGACCTGTGCTACTGAAGTAGAAGACGATCTTGAGGAAGAAAACTCATGTAATTTTTAGAATAAAATCCCTGCTCCCCTACATTACACACAGTCACCTCAAAAAATAGCCTCCAATCCCGGGACTGAAAGAAATTGTGGCAGCGGAGAAACCCTTTACTGTAAAGTCAATTCATGGCTTTTACCAAAATAAAAAAATGTTTAGTTTCGGTGTTTAACATAAAAACACCATTTTTTATCATAAATAACCTTAACACTTCGATGATATTATCGGCCTCGACTTGCTTAAACAAGCGAATGAGAAACTTGATTATACCGGGAATTTTCTTCACACAAACAACGGAGACGAAAAGATCCGATTCAATAGGTCAGAAAATGTGAACTTTATTAAAATTTATGATGAGGATGTTCCCGTGGCAGTTAAAGCCACCTTCGATAAAATGATTGCCAAAAATTATAAAGATCCAGACGAAGCACTTCCATTCAATATTAACACTATAGCCACAATAAAAACTGATGGGGAACCGGTGTACTCCAAAACGTACCCACACCCCATGGGTGTAACCAAATTCGTCAATGCAGAGTCAAAACAACTTTTAGCGGACGGCGTGATAAGGCCATCCAGGAAGAAGGTATGAGAGTATCCCAAGAGAAATCGAAGTTTTTTAAAAAGAGCGTCGAGTAGTTGGGCTTCATAGTGCCACAAGGGGGACTGCAAACTTCACCTGAAAAGGTAAAGTCTGTTAAGGAATTTCTCCCACCAAAAACACTTTTTGACCTCAAGCTACTAAAGGTGCTTCATAAAAAACTTCGCGACTATCGCAAGACCTCTAACAAGCATCTTAAAGGGAGAAAATATAGGCTTCGGACTAGGGGCAGTACTATCTCAAGATGGCCGCCCAATCGCAATGATATCACGCGCCCTACGTGACAACGAAAAATTACGCAACCAAAGAGCGAGAGCTCCTTGTCACTTAAAAACTTTACCGATCATCAACCACTTACCTTTGCTGACTCAGAAAAAAATTTAAAAACCAGACAAGGAAAATTTCGTGGCACACTCATTATCTCGCCAAAAAATTAAAACCTTAGAAGACGTACAATAATCGGACGTAGCCACCATTCATAGCGAAGAGTAAGGACGGACGCGACGGTGAAACTGAATGACTACACGAACGCGGACTATACCCCAAAGAGGACAGTGACATTGTTGTCTGGGAGTCTTTCGGATACCTACAACATGCAATGAACATGACGACCAAGGACTTTGCTGACCAGACGGAAGCGCTAACGAGAACATTTACCGATGACCACAGACTACCGGTTATAGCAGCGGACATCAGACACATTCGCAAGTTGGTAGCCACCCTAAAAATCACTCATAGCGCTGCCAGGAGTATAAACTTTATTAGGACAAACCTTAAAAGTTGTTGCAGGTACTTTAATGATTCGGAGCAAGTTAAATTCAAACAAGACCGACTAATAAAAACAAATGAAGAACAAACGGAATTAAATATTACATTCCAAAAATAAAGAACAATAAAAATATTTCGAGACAAATAAAGAACAAATTAAACAAAACAAAACGCTATAGTCAAGTGCCGCGACTGTAAGTTACCCGATACTGTTTTACACAATTTTACAATAGTCATTTTGCTAGTGGAAATTGTGAGAGAATGCATGTTGAGTTACTGATAGTGACGTCCTTGCCCATGTGAGGCCTTATAACCTAAATTTCTTTATAAATAGCGAAATAATGTTCTGATTTAAAAAAGCTTTGGTAAATCGATGGATATTAACAGAAATAAGTTTTATAAGGTCAAACGAAGGCATACATAATAATATTATAGACGCCAGTTTTCCGCGGTTTGTGGGCGTTAGAGTGGGCGGGGCCGGTTGAAAACTCTTGCCATGTTGCAGGCATTTCTTATAGGCCCCGAGATTTTTGCATTTTTGGTTTTCCGGGTATTGTCGGCGTTAGGGTGGAAATGGCTAGATGTAAAAACAGTTTGCATTTGGTGCAGCATAAAAACCTACATGCTTAATCCGAACTTTCTATCTCTTATAGTTGCAGAAATATCACCTTTTCTAGAAAATGGGAAAACTGAATTTTGAGCCTTGTGGGCGTATGGGTGGGTGTTGCCGCTATAAGATGCGCTGCCATCTAAAGATTATATAAACTGCCATCTAAAGATTATATAGCTCTAATAGCTCCTGACATTTCAGCAATTTTAGTTTTTCACGATTTGTGGGCGTTACAGTGGGCGTGGCAGGATACTGTACTAAACTTGTGCTGCGTAGGGACCTCAGGAATCTTCATGATTAATCTCAACTTTGTATCTAGTATATTTCCTAAGATCTCAGCGTTCATACGAACTGACGGATGGACAGGCAGACTAGGTTCAATCTTCTTCGCTATTAATACTGATCAAGAATATATATACTTTAGAGGGTCGGAAACGCTTCATTCTACCTGTTACATACTTTTCAAGAATCTAATACACCCTTTTACTCTACGAGTTACGGGTAAAAAAATTTGGGACAAATTAAGAAAATAATCTTTTAGAAATAATTTTGGCTAAAAATAGATTCGGCATCACAGATCTGGAAAACATTCTAATGGGCTTGACCCTAGCAAAATTAAATATTGTAAGTCCGGCAATTCTAGATAGCTCCGACATTTGCGAAATTAAAGACAAGCTGCCTATTAACATTAGTTTGATAGAAATTTTAGAAGCATATAGTATAACTGTTTTTAAAAATTCCGATATCATTCATTTTCTTGTTAAATTTCCTAATCCTAGGCTTGTTTCAAAGAAGATAACAATCTATCCGGTCCAGATACCACCATCTAAAGACCAAAGTCCACGCCAAAACAGGAATTAACGATGACTTGGAACCATTGGGTCAGCAGCATTACCATTAGCACAAGAAGCTGAATCAAGTAACGAAAGAATCGTTTTTGCGCCACTTTCGCCCGACACAATGAGGAGAAAGCATACAAGCCGAACAACCATCGACAAGAAGGCTGAAAAAATTCCCAGACCCATTCTGAAATTCAGGAGCATTTAGGAAAACTCCTCACTTGTTAGGACTCAAAAAGGAGCCAACAACCAGAATGGTTCCTTTGGACAGAGACCACACATAAGCACAGGAACTTATCAGGGTCAACCAGCACCAGAGCCAATGGAGATCGACCCCTCCTTCAGGAGGGTATTTAGACAGCCCACAACGAAAAAGGGCAGTCAGCAAGGCAACAAAAAATAAACGTCATGCGCAGACCTGTGCTACTGAAGTAGAAGACGATCTTGAGGAAGAAAACTCATGTAATTTTTAGAATAAAATCCCTGCTCCCCTACATTACACACAGGCACCTCAAAAAATAGGTTACTCCAATCCCGGGACTGGAAGAAATTGTAGCAGCGGAGAAACCCTTTACTGTAAAGTCAATCCATGGCTTTACCAATATAATTAAAAAATGTTTAGTTTCGGTGTTTAACATAAAAACACCATTTTTTTTATCATAAACTAGCCGACCCGGCGAACTTTGATCCGTCTAAATGGCAATAAATAAGCAGTTTTCTTTTTATTTTATTCGAAAAAATACAATTACAGGTAAAAGTAATAAAGAGATCTGGCCGGCCGTAATGACGAACATATGTCATTGCATCTTGTGCATATTCATACATATGACTCGGGCTACCAATGTACGTCGTCGGCAGAATAGTTAATCGACCAATATTAGCTGCATTTCCTTCATTACTAACTGCATCACGTAAATGGATGTACTCTTCAGAACGCAGTTTGGCTTGGATCAACCTAATAAATGTTAAACGTTCCGTTTCTATTTTTACATACATGTCAACGCAATACTGCTGAAACAATCGACGAAACCGCAGCAAATAGTTGTCAGCATTTTGACGAATCATCAAACGATATGCATAATAATTCATTGAGCTAACTTTCTTTGTAGTTTCTTCACCTGAAATTAAAAATTTGATAATTAACCATTTCAAAGGCAAATAATACAGACATTAACCATTATAAAGATACTGATACTTTACCATTCAATGGATTTATCATTTTAATATTAAAATAATATCCATCTTCTCCTTGCCAAAACATCAGTGGGTATTCCAATGCGTCATATGATCGATGAGTTTCCGATATTTGTTGCAGTTGCCCAGTATCACGACGTGTAAGCACAATATCGCGTTTTTCCAATTGTTCACCAACAATCAGGATGGCAAGTTCGTCTACTGTTGGAGCATTAAATGTGCGTTCGTGTGTTCCAGATGGTCGTTTATCTGCTTTGATGACAACTTTATAGTCATCATTTGGCATGCGCTCTAAAGCACTCTTAAACAACCTGACCAACGCATGATGTTCATGAAGCAGACACTGCAAGTCTTGAAGAATTGCTCGCTTCATTCCTGCATTGATCCCTAGGCGTCGATCAAGTTGTTCTTCCATGTTGCCCATGAAACATATTTGTAAAAATTTATTCTGTGTATCTTCGAAAGGTAGTAATGATCCAATTCGATGGTGAATCTGTCCTTGTATCTACAAAATAAAAACCAGACAGTATTAACTGGGTTATAAACACTTTTTCTGTAGGAGAGTAGTATAATACATACCAATAGATAAACTAAGTTATTCTTTAACTACATTCTATGTAAGTACAAAAATAAATACCTTAAATGTCGGATTAAAACCTCCTTCTTCGATAATGTCTGCCCCAAATGACGTCATTTGGAAACAACTATTGTATTTTCGAGTATTTGCAAGAAAGTGGCGTGATTCTTGTGTTTCGCCGCAAAGCAATGAATACAATGGCTCATGTGGCGGAGTCAGCACTGGCAATTTCACTTTACCATTAACGCAGCATAGTCCAGGCGTTTCTCCGGAAAACTTTAATGCACCACAATACTCGCAAACAACGTCCATTTGCCCAATGCAAACGCTAGGATGCAAGCTGTAATCATTGCTGCAATCGTATCGAAACGCAGCTCGATTCAAATCAGCTAAATATCTTGTTCTGCGTCGCAAATTATCTATTTGTTGACTTCTGTTGTTCGCTCGACGATTCTGCATTGCCAACCGAGCTGTTTCACGGGCTGCTTTACTTTGCTCTCGTGATTGAGAAGCACGAAGTCGAGCCATACTATTGCGGCGCTGTTCACGTGCACTTTCTTGTTCTTCTTCAGTCCTTTCATTTGCAGTATTTTGTATTCTTCTTGCATTACGGCTTTGTCGGGAAAGATTCGATCGTCTTGGTCGCGGCATTATTAATTAAACTTCACTTCACTTCAATCCACTTGTTAATTATTTATTTAATAGAAATAGTTTTAATATTGATTTCTTACAAATATCAAATTGTCATCCATACGTCATTACATAGCTGTCATTTTACGTCAATTACATAGCTGTCATTTGCGTTTTGTTATTCCAAGTCGGATTCTTTTTTATTATACCAAGTTTTATAGTGACTGACGTTTCATGTCAAGTCACAGAGGAACGCTGTCGAACGGGATAAAAAGTATCCTATGTCCGTCTCCTGGCTCTAAGCTACCTCCCTACCAATTTTCAGCCAAATCTGTTCTGCCGTTCTTGAGTTATAAGTGGTGTAACTAACACGACTTTCTTTTATATATATAGATAACCTTAACACTTCGATGATATTATCGGCCTCGACTTGCTTAAACAAGCGAATGAGAAACTTGATTATACCGGGAATTTTCTTCACACAAACAACGGAAACGAAAAGATCCGATTCAATAGGTGAGAAAATGTCAACTTTATTAAAATTTATGATGAAGATGTTCCCGTGGCAGTTAAAATGATTGCCAAAAATTATAAAGATCCAGACGAAGCACTTTCATTCAATATTAACACTATAGCCACAATAAAAACTGATGGGGAACCGGTGTACTCCAAGTCGTACCCACACCCCATGGGTGTAACCAAATTCGTCAATGCAGAGGTAAAACAACTTTTAGCGGACGGCGTGATAAGGCCATCCAGGAAGAAGGTATGAGAGTATCCCAAGAGAAATCGAAGTTCTTTAAAAAGAGCGTCGAGTACTTGGGCTTCATAGTGTCACAAGGGGGACTGCAAACTTCACCTGAAAAGGTAAAGTCTATTAAGGAATTTCCCCACCAAAAACACTTTTTGACCTCAGATATTTTCTAGGGCTAGCAAGCTACTAAAGGTGCTTCATAAAAAACTTCGCGACTATCGCAAGACCTCTAAAAAGCATCTTGAAGGGAGAAAATATAGGCTTCGGACTAGGGGCAGTACTATCTCAAGATGGCCGCCCAATCACAATGATATCACGCGCCCTACGTGACAACGAAAAATTACGCAACCAATGAGCGAGAGCTCCTTGTTACTTAAAAACTTTACCGATCATCAACCACTTACCTTTGCTGTCTCAGAAAAAAATTTAAAAACCAGACAAGGAAAATTTCGTGTCACACTCATTATCTCGCCAAAAAATTAAAACCTTAGAAGACGTACAAGAATCGGACGTAGCCACCATTCATAGCGAAGAGTCCCTGACATACACCATCGAGACAACCGACAACCCAGTAAACTGCTTCCGAAACCATATAATAATCGAAGACGTAAATAGTTTCTCGGTGGATACATTCATCTTGTTTAAGAGCAAGGTGAGGCACATAAACAGAACCCCAACCGGAATATCTGATTGAAACATTACGAGATGTTGTAAACGCGGAGGTAGTAAACGCAATACACACGCTATAGCACCGACTAGTAGAATCCTTCCCTAACACTTCTTTCAAGCAGACGAAAAACTTCGTACAGGGCAAAACGGACTCAACCGAACAGAAAGAAATTGTCATAACAGAACACATAAGGGCTCACCAAGCAGCACAAGAAAATGTAAAACAAATTCTTAGGGACTAGTTATTCCCAAAAATGTTTCGGTTAGCAACAGAAAAAACATCAAATTGAAAAACCTGTTTCACCACCCATCAAAGCAAATGGTTGCAGAAACTCCTAAATCCTCATTCGTGGGAGAATTCTACACATTGATATTTTCTCAACCCATGGAGCCCATGGCAAAAAGGCAACAAAAAATGAACCTCCTGCCAGAAGAGAAATCTGACGACGAAGATTATGACGCCGTTGCGCAGACCTGTGCTACTGAAGTAGAAGACGATCTTGAGGAAGAAGACTCATGTAATTTTTAGAATAAAATCCCTGCTCCCCTACATTACACACAGTCACCTCAAAAAATAGATTACTCTAATCCCGGGACTGAAAAAAATTGTGGCAGCGCAGAAACCCTTTACTGTAAAGTCAATCCATGGCTTTACCAAAATAATTAAAAAATGTTTAGTTTCGGTGTTTAACATAAAAACACCCTTTTTTTTATCATAAATAACCTTAACACTTCGATGATATTATCGGCCTCGACTTGCTTAAACAAGCGAATGCGAAACTTGATTATACCGGGAATGTTCTTCAGACAAACAACGGAGACGAAAAGATCCGATTCAATAGGTCAGAAAATGTCAACTTTATTAAAATTTATGATGAAGATGTTCCCGTGGCAGTTAAAGCCACCTTTGATAAAATGATTGCCAAAAATTATAAAGATCCAGACGAAGCACTTTCATTCAATATTAACACTATAGCCACAATAAAAACTGATGGGGAACCGGTGTACTCCAAGTCGTACCCACACCCCATGGGTGTAACCAAATTCGTCAATGCAGAGGTAAAACAACTTTTAGCGGACGGCGTGATAAGGCCATCCAGGAAGAAGGTATGAGAGTATCCCAAGAGAAATCGAAGTTCTTTAAAAAGAGCGTCGAGTACTTGGGCTTCATAGTGTCACAAGGGGGACTGCAAACTTCACCTGAAAAGGTAAAGTCTATTAAGGAATTTCCCCACCAAAAACACTTTTTGACCTCAGATATTTTCTAGGGCTAGCAAGCTACTAAAGGTGCTTCATAAAAAACTTCGCGACTATCGCAAGACCTCTAAAAAGCATCTTGAAGGGAGAAAATATAGGCTTCGGACTAGGGGCAGTACTATCTCAAGATGGCCGCCCAATCACAATGATATCACGCGCCCTACGTGACAACGAAAAATTACGCAACCAATGAGCGAGAGCTCCTTGTTACTTAAAAACTTTACCGATCATCAACCACTTACCTTTGCTGTCTCAGAAAAAAATTTAAAAACCAGACAAGGAAAATTTCGTGGCACACTCATTATCTCGCCAAAAAATTAAAACCTTAGAAGACGTACAAGAATCGGACGTAGCCACCATTCATAGCGAAGAGTCCCTGACATACACCATCGAGACAACCGACAACCCAGTAAACTGCTTCCGAAACCATATAATAATCGAAGACGTAAATAGTTTCTCGGTGGATACATTCATCTTGTTTAAGAGCAAGGTGAGGCACATAAACAGAACCCCAACCGGAATATCTGATTGAAACATTACGAGATGTTGTAAACGCGGAGGTAGTAAACGCAATACACACGCTATAGCACCGACTAGTAGAATCCTTCCCTAACACTTCTTTCAAGCAGACGAAAAACTTCGTACAGGGCAAAACGGACTCAACCGAACAGAAAGAAATTGTCATAACAGAACACATAAGGGCTCACCAAGCAGCACAAGAAAATGTAAAACAAATTCTTAGGGACTAGTTATTCCCAAAAATGTTTCGGTTAGCAACAGAAAAAACATCAAATTGAAAAACCTGTTTCACCACCCATCAAAGCAAATGGTTGCAGAAACTCCTAAATCCTCATTCGTGGGAGAATTCTACACATTGATATTTTCTCAACCCATGGAGCCCATGGCAAAAAGGCAACAAAAAATGAACCTCCTGCCAGAAGAGAAATCTGACGACGAAGATTATGACGCCGTTGCGCAGACCTGTGCTACTGAAGTAGAAGACGATCTTGAGGAAGAAGACTCATGTAATTTTTAGAATAAAATCCCTGCTCCCCTACATTACACACAGTCACCTCAAAAAATAGATTACTCTAATCCCGGGACTGAAAAAAATTGTGGCAGCGCAGAAACCCTTTACTGTAAAGTCAATCCATGGCTTTACCAAAATAATTAAAAAATGTTTAGTTTCGGTGTTTAACATAAAAACACCCTTTTTTTTATCATAAATAACCTTAACACTTCGATGATATTATCGGCCTCGACTTGCTTAAACAAGCGAATGCGAAACTTGATTATACCGGGAATGTTCTTCAGACAAACAACGGAGACGAAAAGATCCGATTCAATAGGTCAGAAAATGTCAACTTTATTAAAATTTATGATGAAGATGTTCCCGTGGCAGTTAAAGCCACCTTTGATAAAATGATTGCCAAAAATTATAAAGATCCAGACGAAGCACTTCCATTCAATATTAACACTATAGCCACAATAAAAACTGATGGGGAACCGGTGTACTCCAAAACGTACCCACACCCCATGGGTGTAACCAAATTCGTCAATGCAGAGTCAAAACAACTTTTAGCGGACGGCGTGATAAGGCCATCCAGGAAGAAGGTATGAGAGTATCCCAAGAGAAATCGAAGTTCTTTAAAAAGAGCGTCGAGTACTTGGGCTTCATAGTGTCACAAGGGGGACTGCAAACTTCACCTGAAAAGGTAAAGTCTATTAAGGAATTTCCCCACCAAAAACACGTTTTGACCTCAGATCTTTTCTAGGGCTAGCAAGCTACTAAAGGTGCTTCATAAAAAACTTCGTGACTATCGCAAGACCTCTGACAAGCATCCTAAAGAGAGAAAATATAGGCTTCAGACTAGGGCCCTACGTGACAACGAAAAATTACGCAACCAATGAGCGAGAGCTCCTAGTTACTTAAAAACTTTACCGATCATCAACCACTTACCTTACCCTTACCTTTACCTCAGAAAAAAAATTTAAAAACCAGACATAGAAAATTTCGTGGCACACTCATTATCTCGCCAAAAAATTAAAGCCTTAGAAGACGTACAAGAATCGGACGTAGCCACCATTCATAGCGAAGAGTCCCTGACATACACCATCGAGACAACCGACAACCTAGTAAACTGCTTCCGAAACCAAATAATAAGAAGACGAAATATTTCGGTGGATACATTCATTTGTTTAAGAGCAAGGTAGGCACATAAACAGAAACCCAACCGGAAACTGATTGAAACATTACGAGATGTTGTAAACGCAACTTCTTTCAAGCAGACGAAAAACTTCGTACAGGGCAAAACGGACTCAACCGAACAGAAAGAAATTGTCATAACAGAACACATAAGGGCTCACCAAGCAGCACAAGAAAATGTAAAACAAATTCTTAGGGACTAGTTATTCCCAAAAATGTTTTGGTTAGCAACAGAAAAAAACATCAAATTGAAAAACCTGTTTCACCACCCATCAAAGCAAATGGTTGCAGAAACTCTTAAACCCTCATTCGTGGGAGAATTCTACACATTGATATTTTCTCAACCCATGGAGCCCTTTTCCTTACATGCGTCGATAAATTCTCGAAATTCGTCATAGTGCAAAACATCGCCTCAAGGGCCATAGTAGACTTAAAAACCCCTTTATTACACATAATAAATTTCTTTCCGAAAACAACAACAATCTACTGCGATAATAAAAGATTG